TTATAGAGAATACACGACGTAGAATACTTGACCTAATGGGCTAAGCTCAATACAACAAATAACAAATAAATAAATAATAATATTTACAACACTCCCCCTCAAGCTGAGGAATAGATATTTATCATTCCCAGCTTGCTAGTAAGTTCTTGAAATCTGTCTGAAGAAAGCCTCTTTGTTAATAGATCAGCTAATTGACGCCGAGTGGGAATGTATGGAGTGGTAATCAACCCGCTATCAAGTTTCTCTTTGATGAAATGGCGGTCGACCTCAATATGTTTAGTCCGATCATGTTGAACTGGATTATGAGCTATACAAATAGCAGACTTATTATCACATAGCAGCTTCATAGGTCCCTCACATTTTATTTTGAGATCATCAAGTATAATTTTCAGCCACAGTAACTCACAAATGCCTTGAGCCATAGCTCGAAATTCAGCTTTTGCACTTGATCTGGCAACCACATCTTGTTTCTTACTTCTCCATGTCACCAAGTTACCGCAAAGAAACATGCAATAACCAGTGGTAGAACGACGGTTAGTCACGGATCCAGCATAATCAGCATCTGTGTAGACTTCTAAAGATAGATTGCCATCACGGCGGAATAACAATCCTTTACCAGGAGTACCTTTAAGATACTGAAGAATTCTCTCTACTGCCTGCATGTGTTTTTTCTTTGGATCGTGCATAAACTGACTGACAATACTAACAGCATAAGCTAGGTCTGGTCTAGTATAGGCCAGATATATAAATTTCCCAACTAGCCATTGATATTGTCCTTTATCAACTGGAAGACTCTCTTCTTCATAGCCCATCTTGTGATTCTGCTCAATAGGAGTATTAGAGGGTTTACACCCGAGCTTTCCTGCTTCTTTGAGAAGATCAAGAACATATTTCCTCTGGCTGATAAAAATTCTTTCGCTTGAATGAGCTACTTCTATCCTTAGGAAATATCTCAATTTCCCAAGGTCTTTGACTTCAAACTCAGAGGCAAGCCGTGTTTGCAGAATCTGTCTCTCCACAAAATCATCACCTGTGATAATAATATCATCAACATATACAAGGAGCACAGTAAGCTTCCCATTTTGGGAGTGCTTGAAGAAAAGAGTGTGATCTCCTTGACTCTGTCTGTATCCTAAGGTCATCATAACCTTAGTAAACCTTCCAAACCAAGCACGAGGTGACTGCTTCAATCCATACAAGGCCTTTTTTAATCTACAAACTTTATTTTCCCCCTTTACAGAATCAAAACCAGGCGGGATTTCCATGTAGACTTCTTCTTCTAACTCACCATTGAGGAAAGCATTTTTCACATCAAATTGATTTATATCCCAATTGTAATGGGCAGCAAGGGATAATAAGATTCTCACTGTATTCATCTTTGCAACTGGAGCACAGGTTTCTTCATAATCAATGCCATAGGTTTGAGTGTAACCTTTGGCCACTAATCGAGCCTTGTATCTCTCAAGAGTGCCATCAGAATTATATTTCAGGGCATAAACCCATCTGCACCCTACTGCTTTCTTTCCGTTGGGTCTATCAATAACCTCCCATGTTTTATTTTTCTCCAACGCATTCATCTCCTCTTGCATGGCTTGAGCCCAATTCTTATCTTTCAAGGCTTCATGTACTGATTTTGGGATTGCAATAGAATCTAGTGCTGAAACAAAACTTTTGTGCTGCAGAGGAAACAAAGTGGGATATAGGGTATTGAGTACAAGAGGGACAGGAGGAACAAGTTTTCTTGTGACAAGATCTTTTTCCTTTTCTAAGAGCAATAGGTAAGTCATCAGAAGTAGAAGCAATGAGTAAGTCATTAGAGATATCAGAAGAAATAGACAAATCATGAGAGGAAATAATATTAGAATCAGAAACAGGAGATTCATGAGACTCAGAAGAAATAGGAAATTCAGGACTTACCAGTGGTTCAGACGATTGAGGTTGCTGGTGAGACAGTATGAGTTGTTTCCTCTTCTGATATACCAATTCAGGTGTCAAAATTTTCCGTATCTCAGGTGTATTTGAAGGTTCTGACACACCAGGAGCAGACACACTAGGAAGAGAGAAGATTGATCCAGACTCAAAGAAGGAAGGGGACGAGTCTTCTGAAGAACTGTTCTCCCCCTGACGATGAAGACCCAGGAAATAAGATTCAGATTCTTGAAAGGTGACATCCATAGAAATAGAAAAATTTTGACTTGGTGGATGATAACACTTGTACCCTTTTTTATAAGGGGTATAACCAAGGAAGACACACTTAAGAGCCCTAGGATCCAACTTACTCCGATGTTGTTTATGAACATGGACAAAGGCAACACATCCAAACACTCTTGGTGGAAGGTTCTGCAATAAGGGAACAGAAGGAAAGAAGGAAGTCATGGAATGAATAGGACTGATATTGTTAAGGATCTGTGAAGGTAAACGGTTGATCAAAAAAGTTGCAGCTAACACTGCTTCTCCCCCAATAAGAACTAGGAACAGATGTCTGGAAAAGTAGAGCTCTAGCAACTTCAAGGAGGTGACGACTTTTCCTTTCAGCAACTCCGTTTTGTTGAGGGGTATCAACACATGTGAGCTCATGAATCATACCTCTGTCTGAAATGAATTGTGACAGGCGTTGATTGACGTACTCAGTACCATTATCAGATCTTAGTCTTTTAATACCCTTACCAAACTGAGTCTCAACCATGTGATGAAACCGAATAAATATCTCTGGTACTTCAGACTTGTCTTTCATCAAGTATATCCATGTTACCCGAGTACAATCAACAATAAAAGAAACAAACCACCTTGTACCTGAAACACTGTGCACTTTAGAAGGGCCCCAAAGATCAGAATGGATAAGAGAAAAAGGTTCCCTGCTTTTAATAGTGCTAGAAGGAAATGACACTCTATGGTGTTTTGCAAATTCACAAGCATCACAATGAAAGGTCTCAACCGACTTATTGAGAAACAGAGAAGGGAACATAGACTTCAAAAGACTAAATGGTGGATGCCCCAGACGCTTGTGATGGAGCCAAATCATAGACTCTGCAGTAGAAGGATGACGTGTCATTAATAACTGATTTTTGCTAGCATGGTCTGGAAGGAGATGATACAACCCATCCTATTCATTAGCAACTCCAATTGTCTTCTTCGTGGTAAGATCCTGAATAACACAATGAGAAGGAAAAATGTGATAGAACAATTCAAATCAGTTGTAAGTTTTTGAGTGGAGATAAGAATAGTAGAAAGCTGAGGAACATAAAGAACATTTTTAAGAAACAAGGAAGGTTGAATTTGAATGTTACCAGAACCAATAACTAATTTATGGGATCCATCAGCTACGGATATAGTATGACTACCAACAGTAGGATGATAAGAACAAAACAACTCAGTACGACAAGCCATATGATCAGTTGCACCAGAATCCAAAATCCATGAGGTTTTAAAATCAGTGCAAGAAGCAAGAAGAGATATAGAATGTGTGCTCTTACCAGATAAGATCAAAGAACTATCATTCTCGGCCATTCTTCAATAAAAAAGTTAACAACCAGCGATAAAATCAACCAAACAGATATCAAATGAAAGTCCGATCAGTGAAATAATCACAGATCCAGACAGAGAACAAGAAGACGAGAAGAATGGAAGTGGTCCGGTCAAAAACAACCGCTGCACGCGTCGGAGAAATGGGCTGCGCGTGGGCTTCACTCGCCGGGAAAGAGTTGGCGCGTGTGAGCGCGTGGAGGGGATTTTCCGGCTGAAATTTTTCTGGCGTGGTCGTCCGGTGAGCGCGCACCTGTCTGTGGGTGGTCGCGGTTGAAAAGTTGCCTGAAAGTGGTCCAAACGGTGAAGAAAGATCTGATTAGAGGCGGTCGGAGGTGTTTTGGTCGTTTGTAGTGGAGGAACTGTGCGTAAAATGATAGATCAGAGAAAATAAAGGTCAACAAAGGTCCCCTTGGTCCAAAAGGTCCCCGGAAAAATTTTCCGGTGGCGGCTGATGGCAGCAAGAGGCAAAGAAATTAGGGTTGTGTTTAAAAAAAAAAAAAAGACAATATGTGCGGAAGCAGAACCCTCAGATCGAGAGCTCTGATACCAACTTGAAAAAGGGTATTCTAATATATTATAGAATTGTAAATTATATGTACAAAAGGGTTCTCTATTTATAGAGAATACACGACCTAGAATACTTGACCTAATAGGCTAAGCCCAATACAAAAAATAACAAATAAATAAATAATAATATTTACAACAATAAGATCGAAAAATAATGTATTAGAAAGAAAGTTAGAGTAGCACCTACTGAGGAAAAGATAACAGAAGCTAGCCCAAGATTGTTTGGTCACATGACTTGAAGACCAATAGGGTTCTCAGTAAGAAAATTTGATCATATGAAGGATAGCCTAATAAACAGAGGTAGAGGAAGACCAAGGAAAAGTCCAAGAGAAACTATTAAGAAAGATATTGTTGTGAATCGCATTTCCAAAATTTTGATTTTTGACAAAACATAATGGTATCAGTTGATTCTTTAACTGATTACACCTACTAGGAAAAGACTTGTTATTTTTGTTGCTACGCAAGTTCCAATATGTCGCCAGTGAAAGGGCTAGCTGTGTAAAATGAGATGAAATCCAGCATATGTATTTAGATATGAATTTTAGTTGAAGAATTTTCTGCTTGATCTGATAAGTTCCAAAATTGTCTACCTAGGATTCCAGGTTATTTGCTAGAATCCTTTTCTTATTCTTCTTGTGCTTCTGTCCTCCATCACTATCTCTCAAGGTAGTTGCACTCAAAAATCAACGCTTACAACTATTTTTTTCTTACATCCAAAAGCCTCTTATAATAACCCTAATTTGTGAATTATGAGAATTGCATGTGATTAAGAATTTAATCATTATCAAAATTCACAAATTAGGGTTATTATACCTCTACTTTATCATCATGAATGGCGGGCTCATTGGAAAACCTGGGAGATCTCAAAAAGTGGCAGACCATAGTGCAAGGGGACCAGAGCATTCAAATGACTTAATGCACTTTATAATTATTCAAAGATTCATGGTGTAAATAGTAAACCCATTTAATTGATTAATATTCAAATACAGTAAACAGACACTCTTACTTGTTTCATTTGAGTTGATAATACAAGGAGATTAGCTACGGAAACTGATGTCCTGATGCATACACATTACGGTGTCTTGAACATGCAACGCAGTGCTACCACCGGCGTACTAATGACGTGAGCAGCTACAAAACAAAAGAATAAATCATATACCATGATTCAGTATCCTAATGCTTTTACAGATGGCTATTCAATTCTTAAAGCGATTTGTTATATAGTGATAAAAAAATATTAGTGTTGGGGGAAAATGTAAATAATTTGCACAATTAGCTCAAAGTATTTGGACATTGTTCAAAAGTAGAAATTGACAGTATGTAAGCTGTAAAGATCACAAGTTGCAGCTGCCTTTACATTTCAATTATTGCTTTAAAGATATGACAGCAAATGAGAGCATTCATAATCCATGCATCAGCTTCTAATTGAAGAATTTTCCATTAACTCATAGTTTATTCTGTACGGTTACAAACATATTTTCATGGATACAGCAGATTAGTAGAGGTGCAGCACAAGTTCAGGTTTATATAAATGAAATTGCGAGGGAAGAGCTTTTTTAAGCAGTTTGCACGAATGAATAACCTTTTCTTTGATACCAGCATTGCAATGAAATTACGAATATAATATCTTGAGAGCTGATAAAGATGAAATGATTATATACCTCAAAGAGTTCAAAGGGACTACCACGGCGATAGACATCACTTTTCTTACTATTGTCAACAGGAAGAATGGTATATAATAATGCTCGGAATGTAATAAGTAAAACAGCAGTGCTTCCCAGACTCACAAATACGAAACCATAGTTTGGTAAATGACCTGATGCTGCTGCCCTTATTACTATTCCAATCTGCCAAAAAGTTAAAAAGAGATAAGTGGGATCTGTTTTAAGGAAAGTTACTGGGAAAGGAAAAATAAAACAACTGTGCCTGCATGGAACAATATAATTATCATCATATCATTTATCTGTTAAGAAAAATTTCCTTGACAATCTTAGATAACAAAATTGTAATATGTTTGTGTGTATTTGGGGAAAAGATTGGAGGGAGTGGGGGGGTTAATTCATCTAAAAGTTGCCAGTTGCCTCAATGTGCCAAAATATACCATGGCAATACCGAAATGTCCCAATGAAATTTAAAGCAACTCTATATATTCAAGCTGTTTTCAGCAGTAAAAACTCAAAAGTAATATTACATTTTACATAACGCTTGTTCAAGTTGTACTTATAATGAAAGAGTTAATCTCATTTATATCTAAATTCTTATAAGAAACTTGTGTGGCATGATATCAGTTTATTGATTCAAGCACTTAATGTACAAATCATGTTGTGCATTGGAAATCATTTCATTTCAAATGAACGCACTTCAATTCTAAAGTTTTGATCCAAAGACTGCGTTAAAGTTTTCGAAATAAAACAGATGATAAAGCAAAAATGCCTATTAATAAGATCAATACAACAGCAACTGCTCATGCTCAGGTCACAACGTGTTAAAAGATGGGTGCAAGTAAGCCAATAAAAGCTTCATATAAGAAGCATTCAACTTACAGGGATCCCAAGTGACCATGATTTAGCAGTAGCAATGACACCCTTGGGGAGACCCTTCATCCCACGTCCATCCTCTCCATAACCTCCAAGGAAGTAAGCACCTAAAAACCACCCTGCACAGCATTGAAAACACACACATTTTTTCAAATCCCTCATATCTTCTCATCAAAATGAAGAAAGTCAAAACATCAATTTTTACAATCATGATAACCAAACCCACCAGCTATAAAAGGATCAGCAGTGCGCAACGTGTCAATGTCGAAAACAGAGAGTCCATGACTAAATCTTCCAATTGTTGCAAACAAAAGCAAAGCTAATACATCCCCACCAGCTAGTAGAGCCACACGACTGCAACATAATAATAACCATTATACCACAAACCCCCATATGAATATTTGCAAAAAGTTTTATTTTTTATGAAGAAATCCAATAAATTCATAAAAAAAATTGCAAGAAAGAAACACCCCACAAAAAAATAATAATAAAAAAAAAAAATTACCCCCATTTCTCAACACGAGAAGATGAACTGGGTTTATCGAACTGAATGACACCCTCCAATGGAACATCCTCGTCACCCACGAAAACCGTTTGGTCATTGGAAAAAGGAGAAGGAGCAGTGGGACTTGAGGTTGAGGTTGAGGAAGAAGATTTGGTAGCTGAACTTGATTCGATGCCTCCCTCAGCTTTGGCGAGTGTAAGATGCAAGGGTCTTATAGAGCTTCTTCTAGTGATGAATTTTGGTGAAGGATTCAAGAACGGTAGTGGGTTTGCAGCGATGAATTTAGCTGAGTACGAGGGGGAACACTTTGCAAACATGGCTATGCAAGGAACTTGGCTAACCAGTATCATTACTAACGTTTGTGTCTTTGTGTTCTGCTTTGTAATCCACACAAGATGATTGCAAATATAGTATCCACGTGCGTCGTAGGACAATTTTCTTGACAAGTATTTACACAAAATTAAATTATATTTGTATCGTTATATTTCTCATATATGTTTCACAAAGTATCGTGGGAGCTATTAAACTTTAACTATACATCTCGAGTATCAATAATGATCAAGATAAGATGAGTTTGTTATTATCATTTTTCAAGTTACCCAATTGGCGATGTACGTGACATAAATTTACGGTTTTTTTAGCTCAAATTTTCTTTTTCCCTTCCCCATGTAATATATGAGTTATAAATCTAGTTATATAATAATAAAAAGAGAATCTATTTATAAAACACTGAAAAGACTACTTCTATGTAGTAAGTTCAAAAGACAACAAGAGTAAGTTTTCAAAAAAAAAAAAAAAAATCTATGTCAATGTTCGGTGAGAATAAAAGTATCATAATTTGTATCCAAAAAAGTATCATAATTTTAAAAATAATTTTTTTTTATCTTTTTCCAGCCAATTACAACAATTCAAAATCATTATTATTTAAAAGTTCTCAAAGTAATTATTCTATAAAATATATTTTTAAACAAAATTGCAAACTATAATAAAAATAAATTGCTGTTATTTTGTACATTATATAACCAAAAAAACATATATGGGGAATATAATATACAAAATAATTTAAATTGTTGTCTTTTGAACTTATTAAATTATTTATAATATACAAAATATTTTGTATACTATAAATTGTTGTTATTTTAATTTTTTAAATAATAAAAATTTTGATAAAAAAAAATTAGCCTACAAATAAGCCATAATCCAACCTGTTAAATTATAGGATTTTGAGAATTAAAACTAAAATATACTCTATCACAAAAGACCTTAAGAATAAGGACCAAATATAAGACTTCACAGTGACTCGCATAGTTTAGCCTAATTTTAGAGTAATGAAACTTGTTAATAAATATATTATAGATTTAATTATAAAATTATTTTATTTATATTGTAGTTGGATGCAATTTTTCAGCAGCAATGGAAAGAAGGAAGGAAACTCTCTCTTGGCTGGAACGGGAGAAGAGCAAGACATACTACTCAACTATTTTGAAGGAACGTTTATTTTGAAAGAGGTAACCTTGAGAGCCCTAATACCCCTTTTCTTGTTTCTCTGTGAATGTGCCTCTGTACAATTCAAATCTATTGTCTCAATTATGGGTTGGGGGGTAAATTTTTTGTAATTTTGGTTTATATTGGACTGCACTATTCTTTACGATGACAAGTTTTTTCCCCAACGCAAAATAATCTCATTTGGGGTTCCATGAGCTAATCATAATCATAACTTTATTTCTGGAGAAACAATAAGCCCTTGTTATATATGTAGATAGGATCCAACTTACACAAGAAGTTTTACATCCAAATTTAGTAGTTGAATTTGCATCTAACGGCTCAAGTAAGCACATATTTGCAGGATCAAAACGTTTTCTAATGAATGTGAGTTTTCTATGTTGGGTTTAATATGCTCTTTTCACTTAAGCCTAATAGCTTTAGTGAGAGTGAGCCCAAAAGTCTAATTTTAACCCAAGCTTAGGGTTAGTTTTGGATTGGGCAAGTATATAAACACTCTTTTCTCCTTTGTGCCTCCTAGGTTTACAGACATAAGAAACGAGGCAGTCATCATCTGAACGGTTGCCCCACGACCACCTGATCCCCTTGAGTCATAGCCTGGAAGATCGACCGTAAAGCGGAATTGCGATAGTTCGTTATGAGTTGCTGCAGATCGTGAGGCTTGAGGAGGAGAACTGAACGTGAGAAATTGTCACGCTCGCTGCTTCTTCAATCAAAGCGGTGCGTACCTTCATTCTATACAACAGTATGACTACTGTTCATGCTGTGCAATAACCAAAACTAAAGTAGAACATTAGCATGCACAAGACTAAGGTGATATGGATTAGAGGAGCTATATTTTTGCTAGTTTACATTCTAAGGTGTGCTACAATAGAAATTTTCATACTGTAACTTCATTACTTGGTGAACCAGCAAGTGTAAATTTGAGCATGATGAAGAAGTGTTTTTCCTATTTCAAAAATATGATGGTGGGTCTTTCAGCCGTGTCATTGATTTCGGGTTTGTGTGGAGGTATAGTGAGATTTGAGTTTTATAAATTTAGCACTATTATCGGAGGTGAGAATAACAATTGGAAAGTTAAACTTTTCAACAAGAAACTTGAATTGAGTGAAAATGGAAAATATATCTAACTTATTTTTCATAAGATATAGCCCATACATATTTTGTGAAATGATCAACAGAATTGACATGGTAAAGAAAACCACCTATAGACCGAAATGGTGCAGGACCCCAAACATACGTATAGATAAGCTCTAATGGCCATTTATTGGAGAGATGACGGTGCAAGAAAGGGAGCTTGTGGCTCTTAGAACACTTGCACAAAGTGCAATTTGTGTAGGTTCGAATTTTGATGGGAAAATGATGGCTGGCTGCCAACACTACATGATTCTAAGAGAACAGTGACCTAGGTTATGGTGCCATGTTGTAAAGGTAGGGATGCTGGTGGTAAAGTCGACATTTGATGAGGAAAGTGGGGATGTCAATGCAATGGGTAGATTATGGACATCTTGTTTAAGTGGACCTTGGAGAATTGCTTGGCTCTTTCTGAAGTCTTCCACAACTAAAAAGGATGGGAAATATTCAACAGAACAATTATTAGTCTTGCATAACTTGGAATGAATATTTGAAAAACATTCAACTTGAGAAAGATGAAGTGGTTTAGAAGAGGTAAGGCAGCATTACCAGTATGAGTGGTGTTCGGTCCTGGATTGACCATATTGCTATACCGTGAGGTATGCGCTCAGAGATAGTGTATATCAGGTGTATACTAGGCTTATTGCCGAGGTTCCAATCACTGCACACAAGCAATAGGCTTATAGCCAAGGGGTGGGTGTGTGCACAGTGTGGGCAGTATCAGTAAATAGGTTAAAAGTGTTTACCTGGGGTCCTTAGGCTCTTATTTATAAGGATTACCTTCTTAGGCTTGGGCCTTATGAGCTCCCCCAATTGCAATAGGATTCAACTCCCTTTCTGTTGGGATGTGATCCTTATCTTGTGCCCAATTGCAATAGGCTTGGGCCTTGTTGAGATGCTGGTGACTCTATCTCTTAATAGATTCCTAGGTAGGTAGGTAGTTGGGATATAATATTCATATCCATAACAAGTGGTATTCAAACCTAACCCATCGCCAACCATTAGTTGATCTGTATAAGGATTTTTTTATTTTATTTTTGGATAAATCACAGGTATCCTCCACGGGAGGCAATCCTGTTCGGGACGAGTTCAGGATTAAGGCTTTAAACCCCTCCCAAATAGTATTGGAGTGAGATGTAGTAGATCATGTGTGAGATGATGCGAGGATTCTGTATCCATGAGCCCACTGTTGCTTTGCATGGGAAGAGCACTAGTGGCCATGCTAGTAGTAGGTTTGGAGTTGGTGTGGGGTGAATATCCAATTATTTTGAAGCATTTCTTACTTTAGTGAACAATTCTTTTCACAATACAAGTCATCCTTCCATATTGGTGATGGAATAAGGTAGGAGAAGACGAATTGTTGGAAGAGAACTTGGGTTTTGGTGCTCCTTTGAATCGAGTGGCTACATTAGCAGTAGCAAGAAGTGGATCTGTGACATTGGGTGTGTCAAGTTTGAGAATAATGTCGAAGTCTATGAACTTTTCATGGAGTTCAGCAAAGTCAATGGGTGTTTCCCTGCTTCAAAGTGCTGCAGATAGCTCACTGTACTCATGAGTCAATAAGAGGATTGTTCATAATAGCGAGTTCATCTGTAATGGAGTTGATGACTTGCAGCTAGGTGGACATGGGGACCAAAGAAAAAAAGGCTGTGAAACTTACATGGCTCTGAATTCCATATGGTTTGAATTGAAAGAATTTCTTGTTGTCACTTAACAGAGAAGTATAAGTATATATAAATACATGATGATATCCTAACAATAATAAAGAGTAGGCTAAACTGTAGGATATGAAATATCCTCTCCTTACCAAATATAAGGCTAAACAGAAGGTTTAACATTTGAATGCATAAAATGAAGGATTTTGATTTTCTCATGTTGCATAAGAATTATTTTCTCATGTTGTGACTCAACTAGTGATGAGTCACATACTTATTAAAAAAAAAGCTTTGCACTCAAATCGAATGATCACAATATGAGAAAATATTTCTCATGTAACAGAAGAGTGATTTTTCCTAAAATGAAAATCTGAAAAGTCATGAAAGCTGACTATTAATAATAGACTTCTTCAGAATTAAGAAAGGAAATTGTATACATGGTTCAGGATTTTGTTAGTCAAGTAATAAGACAGCCTCAATTTTCTCTTAACGTTGGTACACTAGTCCTTGCATGGAGTTAATTCTATGAACAAAATCTTGTGAAATTTCTCATTAAAGCTATGAAAAATGCAAGAGAAAGTTTCTAGCGGGACACATTCTGTGAAGATGTTTGCTAAATGTTATTCCAAAAGGGACAAATCTTGGGTTGAAGATAAATCTGAAAAGCAAAGGGGTATAGAAGCATAAGTTGGATGTGGCTGAATGTAAGTTGGAGGATCAGGGGCATCAGTTGCAATCTCAAGTCTCAACAAAGGATTGAGTCAATTGAAAGTACACACTTATTCCTTTGATTAGAAACCTGAATAGGCCACAATCTCCAAAAAATTTCTTCAGCGAATCTTGTGCTGAATGAGCCCTGTGAACATATTCCAAAAAATTTCAGGACAATGTTTTTCTCATGTAGACGTAATCAGATGGGTCTCACAATTAAAAAAAATGCTAACTTGAACTCCGATGAATATTTAATATAAGAAAAACTTTATCATGTTACATAAAAAAGCATTTCTCATAATATATAGCTCAGAAATATTTTTTTCTAAAAAAAAAATAATAAAATTTCTGAGCTGTATATTATA